TCAGGCAATCCACTCACCTCAGCCTCCCAAAGGCGCAGGATTACAGGCTGAGCCACCGAGCCCGGCTTAGCCTGTATTTTTATCACAGGAATAAGCAGAGGAGAAAACGAGAGACTTTGCTTGGTTTGTCTTCAGTGTGCCTTGGAAGAATGCTTCATTGTGTTGTGGTCCAAGTCCCTCGTTTTACAAATGAGCAAACTGAGAACCCCAGAGAGAAGGGACTTGCCCGAGATCAGCAGGTTAGCTGTAGAGCTGGGACTAGCACCCAGATCTTTTTATTTCTCCAACCACCCAGGGCTCTGTCCGTTACACCCTGGGTATTAACTTGTCATTGTCCTACACGCATGCACTGCCTTGTATTATTACGAGTTAGTGCCTGTGTCTAAGTCGTGGTCCTCTGGTTCTTTTATGAGCTTATCCAGACCAGAGGTTGTGTCTCACACTTCTTGGCAAAGAGTTCCTTTAATAAATAGGAGTGGACTTGACCTACTTTGGCTGGAGTATTTCCCAGCCTCTGAAACCCTGCTTTCCTTCTGTGTGTCCTTTGGGTGGTCAGGCATTTAATTTTGAAACTTAGGGGTATTCAAATAATTTTTTATTCATTTGAGGCTCCCCTTTAAAGGATATCATAGATATTTTCCTAGTGGAAGGAGGAGCTTCGAGGCCAAATTACATATGACTACCCCTGGCCCTGTCTCTCCTTACAGGGAGATGTCAGAATGGTCCCTTGAATGTGGAAACCAATCACAGGCAGTTTTCTGAGACCTCCAGTAAGAAGCCCTGAGCACACCTCCCTCTGCTGCTCCCGTCCCCATGCATCTCATGAGGACTTTTAACAGAACACTATGTAATTATTTATGAACACTTCTGTCTTTCTGTCACACCCACATGCACACTTGAGCACTGACACTTCCTCTTGTTCATCCTTTGTCCTTAGAGCCTGTCACAGTGTAAAAGGGAGCTCAATGGGTGTGTGTGGGTTGAATGAGTGACATGATGATACAGCAACAAATAATGAAAACTCACATCTTAAAAGGAATCATTGCTTGCTATCCTGCACATACACTTGTCAAGCAATGGAAGCATAGTCACTCGAGGTAGGGCTTTTTAATCCACGGCACCTGGCGAACTGCCAACTTGATAACCTTAGTGAGTTAGGTGGGGTGTGTGGGGCTGGTTTTTCCTTCAAGCAGGGTTTCTTAAGTCTGATGCTATTGACATTTTGGGCCAGATAGTTCTCTATTGTGGGGGCTATCCAGGTGCATGTATGATGTCTAGCACCATCCTTGGCCTCTACCCACTGAGTCATGACTTTGGAGAGATGTGACAATAGAAAATGTCTCCAGGCATTGCCAGATGGTTCTCTGGGGGTAGGGAAGGCAAAATTGCCCCTGCTTAAGAACCACTGCCCTGGCCGGGAGCAGTGGCTCAAGCCTGTAATCCCAGCACATTGGGAGGCCGAGGCAAGAGGATTGCCTGAGCCCGCAGGTTTGAGACCAGCCTCGGCAACATGGTGAGACTTCGTCTCTACAATACACGATTTCATTTCTTTTTATGGCTGAATAGTATTCCATTGTGTATATATACCAAATTTTCTTTTTCCATTTATCTGTCCACGGACCCTTAAGTTGTTTGCATGTCCTAGCTAATGTGAACAAAGCTGCAGTGAGCATGGGCATGCAGGTATCTCTATAAGATGCCGATTCATTTCTTCTGGAAATACATCCAGAAGTAAGATTGTGGAATCATATGGTAGTTATATTTTTAGTTTTTTGAGGAACCTCCATGCTGTTTTCCATAATGCCTATGCCAATTTGCATTTCTACCAACAGCGTGCAAGGATTCCCTTTCTTCCACATTTTCGCCAGCACTTGTTATCTCTCCTCTTTTTGATACTAGCCATCCTAACAGATATGAGGTGATATCCTGTGCATTTCCCTTATAATTAGCAATGTCGGACCCTTTTTCAGACACCTGTTGACCATTTGTGTGCACTAGATGACCTTCAGTCCTGGTCCTACCACATAATTTGTGAGAGAAGAGACATTAATGAATAGTTACATTGAGAGAGTAGGCATACACCTGACCATCCTGGGCAAAGCAGACCATGGGACCCTGGGCTTTTGGGGGCACATGGTGCCAGGCATTCCCTCCCTCACCGCCTTTCCTCCTTTGGCTTCTGCTTTTCATGGATTCCCATCCTGGCTTGAGTGCTGCATTTCCTCAGCTGTGAAGATCACGTCCCCAGGCTCTGTCTGTGGCTTCTGGCACTCCTCACTCAGCTTGCTCTCTGCAAGTGACCTTCCTTAGCGGTCATACTGTGTCAGCAGTCCAGCCTTTCTCATCCTGTCCCAGATCCCAAGCCTACTTCTCTTTGTCGTGTTTTCCCTGCTCTTGAGGTGCTTAAACCAGACTTGTGGGAGTCTCTGTCCCCCGCCCTCACCCCTACCCTCAGCTTGCTGACTGCTCTTGCAGAATCTGCCTCCTTGGTGCCACATCTGAGTCCACTTCTCTGGGGGATTTTGCTGGATTTGCTGCTCTGGATATGACTGTATGAGTCAGGGTTCTCCAAAGAGACAGAACCAAGAGGATATGTATGCACAGAGAGAGTCAGGCACCAGATAAGGACATTTTGGCCAAGGATGGACTGCATACGTGACAGTGGCCCCATAACATTATACTGAACTTGAAAAGTTCCTATGGTCTAATGATGTGGTAGCCATTGTAACATAGCGAAATGCATTACTCACATGTTTGTGGTGACACTGACAAAAACAAACCTACTGCTGCCAGTCTAATAAAAGTCTGGCTAACACATGCAATTATGTACAATATATAATACTTGGTATTAATAACAAATAACTATGTTACTGGTTTATGTATTATTTATGTAACATTGACTATACTATACTATTAGGGTTATTTAATTTATTTATTTATTATTTTTAGAGACAGGGCCTTACTAAGTTGCCTAGGCTGGTCTTGAATTCCTGAGCTCAAACAATCTTCCCACCTTGGCCTCCCAAAGTGCTGGAAATTACAGGCATGAGCCACTGCACTGGGCCCTTCACTGTTATTTTATTCTATTAACTAATTAATTAATTAATTAATTGAGTTGGAGTCTCACTCTGTCACCCAGACTGGAGTGCAGCGGCCGCTCCCGGCCACTGCAGCCTTGACCTGCTGGGCTCCAGCGATCCTTCCGTTTCAGCCTTCCAAGTAGCTGGAACTATAGGTGCGCGCTACCACGCCCAGCTAATTTTTTTTTTTTTTTTTATTTATTGTAGAGATGAGGTCTCACCAAGTTGCCCAGGCGGGTCTCGAACCCGCGGGCTCAGGCAATCCACTCACCTCAGCCTCCCAAAGGCGCGGGATGACAGGCAGAGCCACCGAGCCCGGCCACTGTTATTTTGGAACGTACTCCTTCTGGCTTGTACAAAAAGTTAACTGTAAAACAGCCTCAGGCAGGTCCCTTGGGGGGTATTCCAGAAGAAGACATTGTTATCACAGGAGATGACAGCTCCACGCATGTGTTACTGCCTCTGAAGACCTTCCAGTGGGACAAGATGCAGAAGTGGAAGACCGTGATATGGATGAAACTGTGTCAACCCAGGCTAGTATGTGTCTTATGTCTTAGTTTTTAACAAAAAGTTCAAAATGTACTACTAATAAGAATTCCAAGGAGACAGAATAGAGAAGATGAAGGGAGAAAAATAATAAGTACATAGACCAGGCTTGGTGGCTCAGCCTGCAATCCCAGCACTTTGGGAGGCTGAGATGAGTGGGTTGCCTAAGCCTGCAGGTTCGAGATCAGCCCAGGCGACTCGGCAAGACCTCATCTCTATAATAAATCAAAACTTAGCTGGGCTCGGTAGTGCGCGCCTGTAGTTCCGGCTCCTTGGAAGACTGAGGCGGAAGGATCACCAGAGCCCAGCAGGTCAAGGCTGCGGTGGCCGTGAGTGTGCCACTGCACTCTAGCCTGGGCAACAGAGTGAGGCTCTGACTCAAATACATACATACATACATACATAATATTTTTTAAGTCCCTAGAGATGAAGAACGCAAATCTTCACACTGAAATACCCACTGAGGCCAGGCATGGTGGCTCAAGCCTATAATCCCAGCACTTTGGGAGGCCGAGGCAAGAGGATTGCCGGAGTCCAGGAGTTCGAGACCATCCTTGGTGACTTGATAAGACCTTGTCTCTATGATAAATCAAAAAATTAGCTGGATGCGGTGGTGTGGCTGTGGTTCCAGCTACTTGGAAGGTTGAGGCAGGAGGATTGCCTGAGCCCAGTAGGTTGAGGTTGCGGTGGCTGTGAGTACATCGCTACACTACAGCCTGGGTGACAGGGTGAGATTCCGACTCTTAAAAAAAAAAAAAGAAAGACAGAAAGAAAGAAAGAAATACCCACTGCGTATCCAATCAATGAATTAAAAAAGAACCACTTTCTCAAGGAATTATAAAATAACCAAAAACAAAGAAAAATCTTACATATTTCTAGAGAGAAAACAAAAAGTTATATACAAAAGATTTGGAATCAGCATTGAATTTCTTATTAACAACACAGGAAAAAGAAGAAATGCATTCAAAATTTGAAATAAAAACTATTTCAACGTAGAATTTTCTACTCAAATTAATTAGTTTGATAAGTAATCAAATTAATAAGTGCTTTTCACCTTTGCAGATTTAAAAATTTACCTCCTATCTATGCTTTCATATATATATATATATATATATATATATATTTTTAGTTGAAATCTCTGTCACCCAGGCTGTTGTGCAGTGGCACACTCATGGCCACCGCAGTCTCAACCTACTGGGCTCAGGTGATCCTTCTGCTTCAACTTTCCAAGTAGCTGGAACCACAGGCATGTGCCAGCATGCCCGGCTAATTTTTTTATTTATTGTAGCAATGAGGTCTCGCCATGTTGCTTGGACTGGTCTCCAGTCCCTGAGCTCAGGCAATCCTCTCGCCTCTGCCTCCCAAAGTGCTAGGATTACAGGCTTGAGCTACCACACCCGACCTGTTTTCTTAGATTATTAAAGAATTCTTTGCTTTTGCAAAACAAGAGAGCAAACCAAGGAAAAAAGACATGACATCTAGGAAAACGAGACCCCCACCATGAGAGGTGGGGAGAGGGTACCCCAAACCACAGCCAGGTAGCAGGCCCAGGGTAGAGCGAGGGGAAAGAGGACTCTGAAAGAGAAGTCTCCAGGGAAAAAACAAATAGAACTGTGGATAGATGTATAACAGAGCTGTGGGAGCATTTGGAAAAATTAGCCATATGTACATAGAAAGCTAATCAAATGAAAAAAACCAGTAATTATTGACTTCAGGAAAAACAAAATGTACAAGGAGAGACACATAATCATTTTACATGACTTGACTCAGCACAGAACAATATTTCATAGTCAAACCAAGTCATAAATACAGACCATCTCACTAAAAATTAGATGAAGAGAAGTATATGTAATATATATAGAGGAAGATTTAAAAACATCTAAATCTTTATATTTCATAACAGGAAATTTTAGACATCTCAAATTAATACACCAAGAAATAACAGTCTATGAATATAATTTTAAAATATGGAGATAAAAATGAAAATCAACAACTAAAAAGAGTTGGAAATGGCTGCCGTGGAGATCTGGTAAAGGTTAGGACAGGGAACTGTTATTTGTCATTATAAACTCTTTGGTACTAGTATACGTAAAGGAAAAAAAATGTACTTACACAAAACCAATTTAAAAAAATAATATAACTGTTTAAAGGGATCTTTAGTACCCCTTTTCTTTACTCACTCTTCTATAATATTTATCTTAGGAAAACCCCCTCAGACGAATAGCATTTGTTTTGAGGAATGTTTTATGTTCGGGAATTCTTTCATCTTCACTTGTCTCTCCTGTGACCTTCAGGAAAATTATATTTAATACTTTTAAATTGAATAAGTACATAAAAATATGTGTATAAATACACATGCATATAGCTACTAAATATCGGTCTCTCCTTCCCTTCTCTGGGTTAATTGAGATAATCAGGGACTTGCTACACATTCTCCAAAAACATCCAAGGGGTTGCTCCATGAGCAACATGCTCTCTCCTGCCACTGACAGCAACCCTTTGGACCCCACTTCTCTACTGGTCACCACCTGAAGGCCACGGACTCAGTCCTTTCAGCAGAATACTCTTCCTGTCACACAGACACGGTGGACTCCATACATTTCTTTAGTTGGGACACCACCACCACACAAAATTATCTTGGTGTGTTACATTTTAACGGAGTGGTTAAGTACAAAAGAAATGTGGAATGGTCCACCTCACACCCATGAGGATGGTCATTATACAGCAACAACAACAAATACCCAGTATTGATGAGGACGTGAAGAAGCTGGAAGATCTGTGCATGGCTAGTGGGAATGCAAAATGGTGTAGCCACTATAGAAAACAGTTGGGTGGTTTATAAAACATTGAACATAGTTTTACCAAATGATCCAGCAGTTCAACTTCTGGGCATATACCCAAAATAATTGAAGTAGGGATCAAACAGATATTTTTCACACCCCTGTTCATAGCAGCATTATTCACAGAGGCCAAAAGATAAAAACAACCAAGATGTCCAGCAACAGATGACTAGAAACAAAAGGTGGTATATCCATTCACTGACCTCAGCGTTAAAAAGAAAGGAAATTCTGAGACCTGCTGCAACATGGGCGAACCTTGAAAACACACGGAGGAAGTAGCCAGGTGCCAAGAGCCAGTATTGTATGATTCTATTTATATGAGGTACATAAATAGGCAAGTTCAGAGACTGGAAGTAGAATAGAGGTTGCCAGGGACTGGGGAATGGGTACAGTGTTTCTGTTTGGGAGGATGAAAATGTTCTGGAAACAGATACTGGTGGTGGTTGTACAACCATGTGAGTATATTTAATACCACTGAATTGTGCACATTAAATGGTTAAAATGGTCAACTTTATGTTTTGTATGTCGTGCTACAATTAGGAAAAAGAAATGTTGGATAAGGAGAAAAAGTTAAACTGCCCTCTGGTTCTCATTTTTTTCTATAATCCAGAGGAAAAATGCCGAGAAAGTTGAACTTTTCAGGGCTGGGGCTTCCCCTTATGTGTGTTTTCCTAACTTTTCTTAATTTCTTTCAAGAGTTTCCTTTTTGCCAAAGTATCCCTTTCTTTAAACCTTTTTTTTTTTTTGAGTCTAGGTCTCACTCTGTTGCACAAGCTGGAGTACAGTGGCACAATCATGGCTACCATAGCCTCGACCTCCTGGGCTCAGGCAATCCTCCTGCTTCGTTCCCCTATGTAGCTGGAACTACAGGTGCATGCCACCATGCCCGGTTAATTTTTTAAAAGAGTTTTTGTAGAGATGCGGTCTCTATGTTGCCCAGGCTGCTCTCAAACTCCTGGGCTCAGGCAACCCTTTTTACTGGGACCTCCCAAAGTGTTAGGATTACAGCTGTGAGCCATCGTGCCCAGCCTCTTTAAACTTTCATAGTGCAAATTGCCATCCACTTTTGGGAAAACTCATTGCCT